ACTAGCCTTTTCTGGGCCCATAACCTTTGTCAGCTTGTGGATGATGGGGGTTGCAGTGGTGCTCTTAGACACCCAGCTGAGTCTGCAAGACAAGTATAGAATTCTAGTTAGTGGGAAATGACCATGTTCCCTTGACATAGGATCTTTGCCTTTGCAGGGAGAAAAAGGTTCTCCTGGAAGCCAAGGAAGCAAAGGAGAAAAGGTACCTTTCAGCTATGTGTACAAATTACAGATGTGCTTCTCTAGCTGATCGAGTAGACGGGCAATTTCCCCCTCAATATGTCAGGGACCAGTATCATTTTGGGGCCATATTATTATCAGTTTTGCATAGTGTCCTGGAAACATGGCCACAGATGAGTGGCTGATGGTTCATGCGCCAGCATTAACCTAGAGCATGCGGTGACCATGGGCCATTAACAAACGCATGTATGAAAAGATTTTACACAGATCCATAGATGTGTGTGGCTTTAAATTGTTTTGAAGTACAGTGGTCCCTCCACATTTGCTGGGGTTAGGGGCAAAGGATTTTTCCATGATTGTGGAAAAAATGCAAATAAAAAAACCACTATTCTTTTTATTTAGGACAGCACCTCTCTAGGAATCTCCAGGTGCTCCAGTGCAACTCTATGGTCAACATCTGCCAGAAGCTGATCCTAGAATCATGCTGGAGGACCTACAAAATGACCAGAGAAGTGTTTTCTCTAGGAACTTCTAGGTTCTCCAGCACAACTCTATGGTCAACTTCCAGCAGAGTTGCGCAGGAGGAGCTAAAGATTCCTAGAGGGAACATATTAATCAAAACCACTAATAATCATAGCCACAAAAGTCAAAGCTACAAATGTGGTGGGATGGCTATAGTTTAACTTGTTTTAATCAGTCCTTTTTCAGCTTCTTAAAATCTGTAGTGTGTTCTTAGCCTTCCAAAATGATTTTTTAAAATTTTGTATATTGTTTTAAATTGATTGTGTTTTATTATATGCTGCCCTGAAACCTTCATATAGAAGGTGGAATATGAATATTTAATAAATAAATAAATAAGAGAGAAAATATTTGGGAGCAGCATCCGAAACAAATATACATTTCTGCACTGCAAATGCGCATTACACACAATGGCAGCTATTGGCGTCCATGTCAGTGGGTTGATGAATCTGCTTTTTGTCTTAATTGTTACTTTAAAGCAATTAACCAAGGTTTTCAACCTGTTCTGGGGATGGAATAAAGCATCTTGGGTAATTCTTTTAGGCAAAACCCCAGCATGGATTCACCGCCCCAATGACATGGAAGCCATCATTTGCCCATGATTGTTGGTGATGTGTATCGAAAGAGATTCAGTTTGTGTGTGTGTGTGTTTAAGTGTGTGTATTTCACAACCCTCAAGGTTTTTGACCCTTTCAAATTAACATGTCCAAAAAGGACAGAGGCCCATCCTAAGGAGATTATGCTGTATATTTCAACAAACATCTAGAGAAGTCTATAAAACAAAGAAGGGATGGAACTGGTCAGGGACTGGGAGGAATAACCCAATTTAATCTGTACTCAGATTGGATCATAGGAAGGAAGGCAGCTAAAAAGAATTGCACTGTGATTTCCACATTTGTGGTTTGAGATGGCACTGAATTGGATTGTACAGGCAGACTTCTGTGAAGCTTGATAAAAAGTATGTAATATGTACAG